GTTTTAGAAGTACTAAAAAAAATTTCTGATTCTTTTTAATTTATTCACTAAGATATAGCCATCAGTATATAGCAAGTGTTTGGCATGGGTAGAAGATGAACTGGTAGGTGCCCTTGTCCTTCTGGTTTCAGCATTTCGGAAATCAGTGGTTGTGTGCAGATCTCAGTTATTTTCCAGAAGGCCAGTTTTGTTGTGTGAAACCTGATTGAGGTGCAAGCTACATACAGCTGAATGGCAAACTGCACTGCCTCCTGGGCATCCCTGCTTTCAGATCCCACATGTACAGTGTGAAATGCAAAAGATAAATATGAAACTAAAACTCCTCATACATCGTCAAGACAAGTCTTTTTCATGGCCTTTCCCTGGCATTTCACTGGAGTCTGAAAAAAAGCCTCTAATTCACTCTATATTTGATGACCATTGCATGTGGTTCCTGTGAACCAGATAGCTGCTGTCCCTACTGCCCTCTCTGGGATGCTTTCCCAACCCCAACCCCCTTATTTTCTGCATCAGTTACTCTTATTACTCCTGTCTTCTCTATAGGTAAGGACTGCCTTGAGCTGGGAACTGCCTTGTGTTCTCCAGCATGTTGGCCACTCTGTAGGGGCTTTGCTGCTGGGGTGGACAAGATGAAGAATTCAAAATGTGCTCAAGATCAGCTTTCAGAGACTGCACAATGGCCAGCAGGTCAAGTGACGGGCAGTGTATGACATGTTTCTCTTTAGTACCATCACCCTCTGCCTCCAACCTTCCCACCAAGGGATGACTTGCTTCCCTGGCCTCCCACTGCTGACTGTACTGGCTTCCTTCTGATACTCCAGAGATGCAATATACACTGTCTGCGCAGTCTGATTTGACTGGGGTTTGGCTTGGGTTTTTTGTTGTTGGTACCTTCCTCACCAAAACTTATTGCAGTGACTGAGTATTAGTGCAGGCAGATTTTGAGGGCTTAAGACAGCTAGGGACATTAGTATGCACAACATCCCTGTTCCTCTCCAAACCATGAATGGGTTTTTTTAATGCATGTGTGTTGATTCCAGACTGCTAGAAGAAAGCAGATAGATAAGAAGCTGTTGTTATTCTACCCTTGTAGCTCAAACTGTGACTGCAAAAGCTACAGCCAAGCTATTCTAGCCAGCGTGCTTCAAACCTAAAATGTGGAGCTCTTGATGCAGAGATTATGTATGATTTTATCTCTGCAGCTATTCCTGGCTCTGTCTTTTGAGATCATACAGTGTGTACAGGTCTATTTTACTGGAGGTTGTGATACGTTAACATTTACTTTCTGAGTAGTGGAGAGAAGGCACCACCTCACTTTGCATCCAGGGACTGTTTGAAAGGTCTCTTCACTGAAGTTGGCAATACTTAAAATGTAAGGAGTTTCGGGGTTTTTTTAGAGTCAGGAAAATAACATTAAAGCCTTGTCATCTAAGAAATAGTCATCAGACTCGTGTCCATAAGATGGATTCTAACCTTGATGTGTGTGAAAAATGGACTGCCACATCAGATCATCTTTCCAAGCTGCATCAGAAATAGGAGGAAGGCACAAGGTTTGAGTTTGATCTCTCTGTCTTGTATTTCCCTTACACTGACTGTGAGGGAGACTCTGCTGCTTAGGAAACTCAGTTCAGCAGAATGTCTTGGTGCTAATATCTGAAAACAAAGGCTTTGTGCTAATATCTGAAATGCTAAAATTATTCTTTTTTTTGGTTTAAGAACTGGTCCGTGTTCGAAAACTATTTTGAGCATTGTGATACCAGTTATGGGAATATTTTTGGATAGTGCTGTATATGTAAAGCTTAGTTTGTGTCCATTTGCTATATTTTCAAGTGTCGTTGTCATGACACCATAGCAAGGCTGCTCACGATCATCTTTGAAAGGTTGTGGCCATCAGGAGAGGTGCCTGAGGACTGGAAAAAAGCAAATGTCACCCTGGTCTTCCAAAAGGGCAAGAAGGAGGACCCAGGGAACTACCAGCCAGCCAGACTCACCTCAGTCCCTGGAAAGATGATGGAGCACCTCATTCTGGAGGCCATCTCTATCCCCATGAAGAAAAAGAAGGTGATCAGGAGTAGTCAGCATGGATTCACTAAAGGTAAATCATGCTTGACCAACCTGATTGCCTTCTACAATGAGACAACTACCTGGATGGATGGGGGGAGAGAAGAGGATATTGTCTGCATTGACTTAGCAAGGCTTTCGACACTTGTCTCTCACAACATCCTCATAGGCAAACTCAGGAAGTGTGGACTGAATGAGTAGACAGTGAGGTAAATTGAGAACTTGCTGAAGAGCAGATCCCAGAGGGTCATAATCCGTGGCATAAGGTCTAGTTGGAGGTCTGTCACTAGTGGGGTCCCTGAAGTTCAGTACTGGGTCCAGTATTGTTTAACTTGCTCATCAGTGACTTGAATGAAGGGACAGATACCTCCTCAGCAGGTTCACTGCCAACACAAAGCTGGGAGAAGTGACCAATACCCCAGAGGGTTGCACAGCCCTTCAAAAGAACCTTAATGGTTTGGAGAGATGGGCAGAGAAGAACTATCTGAATTTCAAAAAAGGTAAATGCAGGGTCCTGCACCTGGGGAGGAATAACCCTATGGAACAGTACAGTCTGACAGCTGACCTGCTGGAAAGCAGCTCTGCTTAGAAGGACCTGGGAGTCCTGGTGTACAACAAGCTGTCCATGAGCCATCACTGTTTCCTTGTGGCCAGTGGTATCTTGGGGTGCATTAAGTCTTCCTAATTGTCAGATCGTGAGGGAGGTGATCCTGGCCATCTACTCAGCCCAGGTGAGGCCACATTTGGTTTAATGTCCACTTCTGGGCTCTGTAGTACAACAGAGATGTGAAGCTCCTGCGGCAGTTGCAGTGAAGGGCAGTGAAGATGATTAAGGCACTGGAGCATCTCTCTTATGAGTGTAGGCTGAGGGAACTGGGCCTATTTAGTCGCAAGAAGAGATGACTGAAAGAGGACCTCATCAGTGTCTGTAAGTATCTGAAGGGAGGGTGTCAAGGGAATGGACCAGGTTCTGTTCAGTGGTGCAGAACAATGGGACAGGAGGCAACGGGCAGAAACTGGTGTACAGCAAGTTCCACCTGAATCTGATGAAGTTCTTTACTATGCAGGTGACTGAGCACTGGAACAGATTGCCCAGAGAGGTTGTGGAGTGTTCCTCACTGGAGAGATTCAAGTACCATCTGGATGTAATTGTGTACGATGTGGTCTGGGATGACCCTGCTTGAGCAGGGAGGTTGGACCAGATGACCCACTTTGGTCCCTTCCAACCTTACCCATTCTGTGATTCTGTGAAATGCCTGATAACATCTCACTGATAGAAAAAAGCAGTGTGTGTAAATCAGCTATGTTCAAATTCCTCCTCCAGAAAAACTGATCTTAATCAGCATTAACCTGTGAAACTGAGATGAAGGATCTCTGACTACTTCTTTATGGGAACACCTTGACAAAATATAGCCCTTCTCACCCGCTTTCTCTCATCTGTAGCTGTAATTTTTGTGTCTCTTTGCTGAGGATGCTTACAGAAACAGAAATGTTCATTAGTGGGATCTCGGGAGGCTGTCCTATCCCGTCTACCACTCAAAGCAGGGCTGTTGCCTGCACTCACTCAGGATCCCCATGGCTTTCTCTGAGGCTTGGAAACGGGCAGGGTTGGAGAACTGAGGGCCTCTTTGGCCCCTGTACCAGTGCTACCATCTCCTTCCTTTTGCAGCCTTTTCCTGAATACCCATCTTCAACTTTCATATGAGTTGCATGATATTGCATTCCTTGTGCTGTCTCATAAATTAAACTGTTTGAACAGGGTCAGCAGTGAGTGAATGTATTTCATGGGTCTTTCATTAGCCTCTTAAAGATGTGTATCTTGGGATTGTGTAATTGTATGTGACTGCAACTCCTGGATTTTCACTCACTTTTAGCGAATAATTTTTTTTAATTTAACAATTCATGTCTACAAAATGGTTTTGACATTTTTAAGCAAAGATGATGAAAGTGGTTTGTGGAGGAGGAAGAAAAGCTAACTACTTCATTTTGTAAAACAAAGCCAGACTAACCAAATGTATTACCTCTAAAAAGTCCCTGCTGCCTCTCTCCGTTTGCTGGATATTAAATTGCAAACTTTAACATAGAAATAGCCCTCACTGAGGAGAGCTGTTTTTGAATTTTCCGCTAAGGCACTGGTTTTGATTGAAATAAGAGACTGAAAATTCACATAGGGAATAGGAATAATATAATTTGCTCCCGTTTTCTTCTTAAGACAGATGGTAAAGGAAGGATCTCTGTTGGCTGTATTTCTCTGCCATACATACTATAGAAAAAGAGAAGAGAAGAGAGGCGAGGCGAGGGAGAAGCGAGGCAAGGGAGAGGCGAGGCGAGGAGGGGAGGCGAGGGGAGGGGAGGGGAGGGGAGAGCTATCTGCATTCCCAGAAGAACCTATGACTGCACATGCCCTTGCCTCTTTCACGCAATATGTCCCGTGAAGCAGAGCAGGAATGATTTGTATTTAATAAGAATGTATGAGTTGTCCGAATTTTTTTGTGAAAAAAAGGTTAGCCAGCTTGTCACAAGTATTTCTTGTGAAGCATCAGGGAGTTTGGCAGGGCCGGAACGTGCTGAGTAAGACAAACTCTGCAAGATGTCATGGCATTCCCTGCCAATCCAAAGGATGGAGTTTTTAATGCAAAACTTTGTGCACCTAGGTGGCCCAGCACCAAAACAAGCTCAGTGTCTCGGCTTGGGGATTGACAGGGTAGGTGTTATTTTGGAGTGGAAGCTGATATTCTTTGGATCTAACACATGGCTACTCAAAGTCCACTTGAAAGCTTTAAATCCCTTGTGAAAAATAGATGGAAAGCACTAAATGGATTCCATATTTGTTTGACAGATGAAATGATCGGGGAGGCCACGGTGTCTCATAAGATGAGTACAAGAGAAAATAATACAACTTCTAGTCATAAAAAGATCTTTTTCTAATTGCTTTGTAGGTGGTCTTTGAGGCTTTACACAATCTGGAACCTCGTGGATATGTTGTCGGATGGATCATTGCCATCAGTTTGCTGGTGGGAATTCTCATCTTCCTATTGCTTGCTGTGCTCTTATGGAAGGTAAGGCAACAGATGCAACATAAGCACCAAAGCTAGTCCCAGAAAAAAACCTTAAATTTATCCTTGTATTTTTAACATCTATTTGCTTTAGGAACTGAATAATTAGTCAGTGAAAACAATATCATATATAAGCTTTCATGAGGGACAGGGAGGGATTCATGATGTACAGAAGAAGTGAAAAAGTGGGGGTTTTTAGGACCTGGTTATTAAAAGTTGAAACCTCTGATACCATTTCAGGACAACAGAGTGTCCCTCTTAGAAATCTGCTGTTATATTACTCTTAGGTACTTCGCATTTCTATGGTTTTCTGATGACTGAGGCTCACTGATTTCAGCAGGATTTCCTGAAAATTGTGTCAACTTTGCTTGACCAGCAAAAAAATTGGGTGCATGTCTAGGAAAAATCAGATGGTAGCTACTGTTTTCAAGAGGTAGATGCCCTGGGGAGAGGAATTTCCAGCAGTAAATTCTTCACATTCCTCACACAAAGAGTTCCAGATCAGTTAGTTACCAGAGGAAGAAGCACCTGGACCTGTTAAAAGACAGCCTTCCCACTGTCTCTGATAGGATACAGTTCTTTTACCCCAGACACTGTTACAGGGTAAAAGTGGGCTGATCCTGATACTTGGCAGCAGCCATTTTGTGTGGTAAATATGAAGGGGAAGGAACTTCAAGTGTTTTAATTCCTCAGTTCCCTGCTACCAATCCATAAACTTAAAAGACCACAGTCAAGGTCAGGGACTGTCTTTGAGGGAAGTAAATCTCAAATGCACACATGGGAACGTGTCCAGCACTATTTTGCTTCCCAAGGCAAACGTCCCACAGTCTGACTCACACTGTTTAGCAGCACGTGTGCTGCAGGCTCTGCTAGCCGGCTGTGTTGGGACTGGAGGTCACAGGCCCAGTGTGCTGCAAAAGGACATATCGCTGCAGGTCATCAGGCTGTAAAATGGATTTACAAACCTGGGCCAAAAACTAGCCATGCAATTCTTATTATAGATTATATAGTTGTGTGTATAGTTGCATTATGGATTATAAAGCTACTTCATATAATATATAAATTTTATATGAGTTATAGATTTAAAGTATTTTTAAAGTCAGTTTTGAAGATTTTTAAGCATATACTGACAAGGTTAAAATTGACTGTACTTTCCATTTCAAAAACAATGTTTGACCACGTTCTAGAATATCTCATAACTTCTGTTTTTCTGGCATCTAGGAAATGCTTTTGCTTTCTGTGGCAGAAAGAGTTAAAGGAAAAAAAAAGTCAGTGAAATTAAGAAGGGAGAATAACCATGAGAATGGAAAAATGTGAGATTGGAAGAGACCCAGGGTTTATGTCCCAGTGACACAATTTCAAAAAGGAGTTAGTGCTGCTGATTTCATATGGCTCATTTCCTGTCATAAAAAGGCATGTTTGAAAATGAGCAAGATAAGAAGAATATCACCTTTCACTGTGAGTCTCCAGGAGAAACTCACACAAGTTCAATTCTTGGTCTCTACTAGAGTTAATACAGTCCTTTGCTTCCTGGATTAATCTTGAGACTTGAGCTCTTTTAAATTTTATAGAGATCATTCAGTGAAGAAGCTGCCATTTTGTTGAATGAAAGCTTTGAGAAATTTTGAGAGATTCCAAGTAACAGTAACTATTCCAAGCAACTAACACCAGATTTACATAGCCCTTTTTGCATGCAGATGTACTGAGGTGAAGAAAGGTGAGATGCCTTGGTCAGAGTCTGTGTTAGAGATAAGTCAGGCTTTGCCAGCTGTACTCCAGTGCTTTATCCATAGAGTTGGATGATTAGTAAAGGATTCAATAATTTAGGATTTTGTTGTAGAGAAAAGTGATTAAAATTGTGTAGCTGCTAGTATCAGGTGGTGATTGGTCAAAGGACTCAATAATCTTGGAGGTCTTTTTCAGCTATAATGATTCTATGATTATATATATATGTGCGTGTGTGTGTGTGCGCATATGTGTATATATATATGTATATATGTGCATATATATGTATGTATATATGTATACATGTATTCCTCCCCTACATTGAAATCCAAAGGGGTTTTGTGCCATAATTATATGTCCCTATGCACCTCAGGGGAGAGGGGATGGGCTTTTTTTAAAAAAAAATCAGTTTTATTTCATTGCAGCATTGATAGAGAAACCTTTTGAAACTGAGTGGCAATTTCATATCTTTGATGCAAGTTGTTGTGCCTATTCAGAGTTCACATACTTCTTCTTTTCTGTACATGTAATTCCAAGATCCCTACCTGTAGGAACTACGTAGCCCATACTTGTCCTGTCTGTCCATAAAATCTGCAAAAACTGTGACTTGGTTTATGTTCTCTGAAATTCTTCTTTCTGTTGTCCTCGTTGCATTTGGTACATTTTTTCTGATAACTTTTCAATTCTATTGGTTTTGTTACCCACTTATCTAGTTACTTTAAGTGAGTTGTTACTTGCTATCCTGTGTAGGCTTCTCAGGGTACTACTTTTTTGATACAGATGCTAGGTTCAGTAGGCCTAGAATTAGGCTTTTTCAATATTATCCTGTTATAAAAATACAAATATAAAAACTTCTGTGATTCAAGACCAAACCTATACTATCTCCCAAACATAGATAGATCTTTGTTATGGATAACATCTAGGAAACCTTGAGGAGGAAATGGGACAACGAAAGTGATTGTGCAAATAATAAGGTTTTCACCAGGCAGAAGCTGTGTGGATCATTTGAAGTCTGTTTATTTTCTTCTTATTTCTCGCTTTCTGAACCAAAGCAAGTATCACAAAATGTTTGTAGACCCTTGGCTTACCAAGAGCAAAAGGGTTTGTATTCCTGCAACAGTGACTCAAATGTTGGGTTTTTTACAGTAGATTGATAGGTTTACAGTAGGTTGATTTGCTGTGCTTTTTGAATTCTGACTGAATGTTACAGGAAGATTGAGTTTGTCATCTTTTGTTGTTCTCACACAAGTAAATGGTTAATGCTGCTGTTATAGCCAAAAGACTGCATTCACCAGTGAGTTTGCCAGCTGCCATGTAATATTTGTTCACTACTCTCAAGATAGGCAATATTTCAGTGGTGGTATGTGTCCAGTACGTGTAAAATGCCTTTGTTATCTTTCTTGATGTAATGAGCTCTGTAAATGTGTAACAATAATATTGTGGCTGAGTGTTCTCTCCAGTCTCAGTGTCCTCAAAATGAGAGGCAGGCAGGGTACTCTGAGAACACCACAGCCATTGCAGCTGTGTTGCTCTTATATTCTGGCACTGTGTGAACAAATGTAATCCACTGCAAGAGAGAGGTATGCTTGTGGTTCAAAACGTCTTTCAGAAAAGATAGCCATCATTTTCAGGAGTCCAAACCAGTAAAAGAATACATATGTAGACTGAAAAATTTAAAATACGTACCTAAGGTTCCAAGGCTCCCCACTGCTGGAACACAACATATGTATTTATTGGAATTCATTAACATCCCTCAAACCCAAATGCCAATAAACAGAGCAAATGTGACTTACTTAGTCTGAATTCTGTTTTTAGGCTTGGTTTCACAATGGGAAATGGTGTATTATAACTTACACCAGCCATAGCTGTTTCCTTCTGGTTTGACTAATGCATGAAAGAGACTTATTCTGATAATTATGGACATAGTACAACTTTAATTCAAATATTTTTGGCAGACCAAGTATATCAAAATATGATTTTAAAGCTACTTTTTATTGATTCCAAAAATAGTCTTTAATGTTTAGTCTTGGGTTTTCAAACAAAGCCAGAAATATTTCAGTAGTGTTTCTTTTTTTTATTTGAAGAGGAAATGGAAAATATGGATCAAGATATGTTTTAAATTAATTATGCTTATAGGAATGATATCTCTAATTACTGTCCTATTCCCTGGTGAGATTCAGTTTTTTTCCAGACATATCTGCAGTAGACATTATGTTCTTTGAGAACAATAATCAGAGATGAACTTTGGATGATGGCTGTGTTCATTCTGTGACTTTAAAAAATAAACTACATAGTAAAATTTTGCAACGGAAAAAAAAAATCTTTATTTGGAAATAGTCGTAAGTTTTAATGTTGGCCAATTCGCTTTTTAATTACACTTATAAATATACTGGTAACAGCTGTCTTGCAAGTTACTGTACACAGTCACCATACTGCAAGAAGTTCAGGCTTTAATTAAACTCAAGTTACCAGAACTCAGCACTGAAAGATCTTTATAAGTTCAGTCACTATGGAAGAATTTGATTCCTAGCAGCTGTATCTGATCCCAGTGTATTGTAACTGATGAATATTGTTATGGCAGAGAAGAATTAGCAATGTACACAAAATTGTGCTTAACTTTTAGCTTACTTTCATCCAGCCTGACTAACTGACTTGAAATATCACTGCTGGTACCTGGGGTGAAGATCTGTAGTCCTCCATAGATTTTAGAAGTAAATTTATTTCACATGCTGTAGTACTAAAACACACATAGTTTTTAAATACACATTTTATTAGACAATTACTTTGTAATGCTGAAATAATAAGAAAAACTGTTTTACTAAGAATAGCCAGTCATTTCATAAACTTAGCTAAAGCAAACATTAGATAAACTATTATTTTAACTAAATACTCTATGACTATCTCAAAGGACAAATGTTAAAAACCAGTTGTTAAGGCTAGGTACCTCAAAATAGAAGAACAATTCAGACTGGCAGGATGCATGGAAAAGATGGATTTAGGTTTGCGAAACAGATAACTGCACACAGCAAGGGACACCAGTACAGAAAATCTGATTTAGTACTTTTTTATTTTTTAATTAATATAACATACCTTGGCATTGTCACTGATGCTAGGGTGTCACCCCATTAATGAACAATTTGTTCCTCTAACCAATTCTTGTGTAACTTTTCTCACAGGAGTTGTTCAGTTGGCTTCAATGGAGCTACTTGCTTATGTGGTGAATAGAGCTGGTAGTTCTGGTGTTTACCCTTGGAATATCTTTACTATGTAGGTACGGT